AGAACACCTGCCCTTGGTCGATTTGGCTAATGCTATTAACAACGCCTTTCTAGAACCCATGCAGGAATTTGATCCTTTCAACCCTAATGACGACCAAACCAATAGTATGTCTGATCAACCTCTTGACATCACTACACCGTGGGAAACATATAATAAACTTAAATTACTAAGTACCTCTAAAGCACGGTCCTGATGAAGTTCCGAATTTTGTCTACAAGGAATATGCCGAGATTTTGGCATGCCCAATCTCTAGCTTGATCAACTGTTCACTCCGCCATCAATTATTACCAAGCTTATGGAAGTTGGCGAACATTATCCCAATTCCGGTTGGTTGTAGGTTGGAAAAGGTTGTATGCGTCATTGATAAACACTTAAGATCTATATCTCTTACTTGTTGTCTCTCAAAACTGGCTGAAGAATTTGTCATTAAAGAGTTTGTCGCCCCTGCCATTCTGAAATGCATCGACTCTCACCAGTTCGGAGGAATACCAAGGTCATCTCGTTCAACTATTGCCCTTATTAGTATGTTGCACAACAGGGCTAAAGTAACCGATGGTACTGGAAATTCCGTGCGAGTCTTTCTGGTCGATTACAGGAAGGCTTTTGATCTTATTGATTACTCAATCTTGATCAACAAAATTCGCCAACTGCCCATCCCAATTTATATCATAAATTGGCTTATTAGGTTTTTGTGTGGTCGGAAACAGCGCGTGAAACTTGCAAGGGACTGTGTTTCTGAGTGGGAGAATGGCGTCCCACAGGGCACAAAGTTGGGACCTTGGTTGTTTATTCTCATGATAAACGATTTGAAGCTTATGGACATCACCCACTGGAAATACATCGATGATACAACAGTCTCGGAAACTATCCCAAGAAACGGAACCAGCCAAATCCAATCTGGAGCTAACGAACTTGAAATGTGGAACTTGCAGAACAAATTCCAATTGAATGTCCAAAAATGCAAAGAGCTTTTGTTTCAATTCCACAGAAATAGAGTATCCTTTGATAATATCCATCTTCTTGCGGGGTGTCCAAACCTGGTTCGCCAAGCTAAAATTCTAGGTGTTACGGTTAGTGATGATTTAAGATGGTCTACGCATGTCCTAAACATAATAAAGAAAGCCAGCAAGAGAATCTTCTTCATAGTCCAATTAAAACGAGCTAAAATACCAGCCAAAGAAATTCTAAACTTTTATTGTTGCTGTGTCAGACCGGTTCTGGAATACGCTTGTGAGGTATTTCACTTTGCTCTGCCCAAGTATCTCAGTGATAACATAGAACGAGTCCAGAGAAGAGTTACATCCATAATCTTTCCCTGTTTGTCTTACAGCGAGCGTTTGGACAAAGCTAACTTGACACTCTTAAGCGATCGTCGAAGGCATGCCTGCTCCAAACTATACAATCAGATAACTAAGGACCCTGCACACAAGTTGTCGAATTTGTTTCCTGCACGTCCTCCTATCACCAATGACTTGCGTAGTATACGTGTCTTCCAAACACCAGTGATTAAAACTGATAGATTTTTAAAAACATTTATTCCTTCTTGTATTAAAGAATTCTCTTAAGCCTAATATTCGTAGTTTTAACTTTGTAAATACATAATTTATATACTGAGTTACATACTTTAACATATTTGTAACGTTCTTTTATATACCTTTTTTAGATAAACTTTATTCTCATAATTACCATTGTTGTAAAGTAACACGCAATCCAGTCGTACTCGGCTGCAATGTGTTTTCTTATTAAATCAATCAATCAATCAATCAATCAATCAATCAATCAATCAATCAATCAATCAATCAATCAATCAATCAATCAATCAATCTATCTATCTATCTATCTATCTATCTATCTATCTATCTATCTATCTATCTATCTATCTATCTATCTATCTATCTATCTATCTATCTATCTATCTATCTATCTATCTATTAAACAAACGAAGTCATCCACGATTAACGGAGTGAAAAATCCACTAAATAGAGTCACTATTCAAAATGTACATATATCGACAACATTTACAATTCTATACTATACAGTACGCTTTTTTTTCATTGTTAAACGTTCTGATTTCATTGATGTTTCGCCAGCAATCCTGGTCAAAAATCCTTGCAAATCCAATACCAACGCCCTAAACTACATTTCTGATTTACAGATACATACATGCGCATTGTATTCCCAATTTCATATCCAGACCTCCCCCTTTCCCGGTGTAATGTTGTGTAACACCTTGCACGTTTACCACTGACAATATAAGCACAACATTGTACTGGGGAGGGGGGGGGGGATATGCTTTGCAATAATTTTAATGCCCACCTTCAACAGTCGGGTATTTAGCAGTGACTTCCACTGTTTCAACACCTGGCAGTCTTTTAAGGAGGTCTATCGAGCCAGGTGGTACAACTAAAATGTCAACAAAGAAATCTTGTGAATTCTTAGTTTGTTAAAACGAGTTACTGTAAGTAAAAGAGTCTAAGGAACATTCTAAACTCCAAACAAGGATTAAACAAGGATTAAACAAGAATTAAACTAAGGATCCTACAAAATGTACAGTAGACTAGCGTTCTACGGTTACTAATAACGGCTTATTGACCGAGCGTGAGGTCTGTACTGTGAAATATCAGACCGAGGTTTTTTAGTATGGACCGAAAAAACGGTTTTACTTTCTACAAAACATTGTTTAAACAAGCACCGAAGCACGTATATTTGATAACCACCTGGAAGCGATGACATCGATTTACAAACTCGTATTACAGACAATCTTGACTCCATTCTTTCTCCCACCCAAATTCTGGTATTATTTTAACTGGCGATTTCAATCAGTTCAAACATCAATGGTTATGCTCCTCCTTTAACCTCAAGCAAATTGTCAACCAAGCCACAAGAGGTAACAATATTTTAGACAAAGTACTTACCAACATCTCAAAGCATTACGACACCCCTAACGTTGTTGCTCCTCTCGGTTCCTCCGATCACAATTCAATAGTTCTGAATCCATTCATGTAATTATGTCCTACGCGAACTCCAACTCAAGATCCTCCCGTCTCGTGAGAGACGCACGACCTTCTAACCGACCTTCTAATCAGAGAAAAGTTGTGCCAAGTTAACTGGTCTCCATTGTACCACATGCAATCCTGCAACGAGCAGTTTATCTTCTTTACTGACACCGTCAACGAGATCATTGAGAAGTACCTCTCCTTCAACCGAGTGACGGTCGACTCTAGTGACAAGCCGTGGATTACGTCAGAAATTAAATCTATGGTGAATGCTAAATGTAAACGCAGCTCGTAACTCCTACTACAGAAGGAACATTGCTGACGTCCAACAATCCAACCCGAAAAAATGGTGGTCAGCGGTAAAAAAGATCGCAGGTCTTTCTTCGTCTAGAAATCCTAAAACGTTGATGTATAATAATCGTCCCTACCAAGGTGAAGAATTAGCTGACCTGTTCAACGACAAATTCGTTTCTGTTGGGTCGACCCTTCCACTTGATTGGACTCCACTTCCCGTTGACGTTTATCCATCCGAATTCATCATATCCGTTGAAGATACCGAAGGAGCATTACTTTCAACTAAACCCCACTCCACTGCTGGTCCCGACGAAATGTCGGCGTGGTTTCTTCGTGAAAACGCATCCACTTTGTGTCGCCCACTAACCTTCATTTTCAATCTGTCCCTCCGTCAAGGCTTTGTCCCTTCCTTGTGGAAATCAGCTAACGTTTCGCCAGTACCCAAATCTTCCCCCGCTCAAGACATCGACTCAGACTTTCGTCCCATCTCCTTCACAGCCATTATTAGCAAAATTTTGGAGTCGTTTCCTTACCGTTGGCTTTTCCAATCAATCGCTGGAAAGATCGACCCTCGATCTACGAGGTTCAAGCGCAAACACGGCCAGGCCTTAAAATATCGGTCGGTCACCGACATTGTCCGACCCATTCGTGAAATTGTCCGACGTAGAGAGGAAACCACCGGACATTCTGTCCGACCAAAGTGAAACTGAGGTTTACTGTTTGTCCGACCGACCGAACTGTAGCTTTGTCCGACGTAAATCAAAATGTTAAATGGAAAATCAAAGTACTATTGTATAAAAGGTGAACTGGAAATGTTGTTTTAACGTAGTCGAGCGCGGGGCAGCGAGCGAAATGGTGAAGTGGAAAACGGGCTTAAGTTGTCGAAGTCTTTTTTAACACTGCTGCTCTGGCAAGCAAGCTAATTTTGGCTTGGAAATAAATATGAAAGAAACAAATTATTTAATATCTTTACAACATTTACCGTTTATTCATTTGTGTCATTCAGACTTATTTCCGAGCCAAAACTGAACTGAAGGTCATCGGACATATGTCCGACCCAAACTCAACGTCACCGGACATTTTGTCAGACGGCCCTGTAAAAGATATTTTAAGGCCTGAGCACGGCTCTCGTCCACCTCCTCCATTAGTGGTACGAAGCATGCGATGACCTTGGTTGTTGTTGGTTTGTCATATAAGATTGTAATTCTGCCGTATGAAAATTATTGCTCACGCTACAATTCCTCTTCAATCAGTTAAAGGTGAAAAGTGTTAAGGCGTTGTTATTCCATTACGTTCGCCAGAATAAGAATCGTATACGACTAATCGTGTGTCGTGTGATTGGCCTTACGAGATTGTAGCCCTTATAGGACCTCTTGGGAGTGCACTTCAGAACTGCTAGATGCATATTCAGTAGTAATAAAGTTGGTTACAGTTTAACACAAAGTACAGTACAAAACATTAGAGTATATAAGGAAATGCTTACCTGATAATCAAAATTCCTTGAGAATGCTTTCTAGCTCTTTCATGAAGAGGATGTTGGCCAACATGTTTGTTGACAGAACCCTGAAAATATTTCATATATTAGTTAGAACACGTTTCATGGATATTTTGCAATAGGATATTTCAAATTATTGCCTTTGTAGCTTTGCTATAAACGTGTTTATCTGTATGTTCTTACTAATTCTTCTGTTGAAGAATTCGCTAGACACGTTGGAATTCTAAGCTTACGCTTCATTTTGAATCTGAGATAACCAATTTGGTGGTTGTTTTAACCAATATATTGTTACAGTGTATGTTTTCACAACACAATTCTATAACTATGTTTTGCAAAATCGACGAATCAATAAATAACTCATCATAGATTTTTACAACAACAAGAGGACTGTTTACCTTGCATATATAGTTAAATTTGTAAAATGAACATTTTATATTTTCTGTGTCAATTGTTACTGTACCTTGGATGGGTCCCAGTCGGGAGGATAGTACTTATTAACCTGTTTCCGTTCCGCCTGGAAAATAGAAGAAAAACGTAACGATCATTATCATGATTACAAACAGTCAAGCATAACATCCGTAGATTTAAAAATATTCTCAGGCACAAGTTGCACCCTTCATCAAGCAACTTCTTGAATGTGGTTACTGTACATTGGCGAATCATTACACGAACAATTGCAATCAGTGTTAAGCTCGGATTTTTGCAAAGAAAACGAGTGTAACAGGGCTCATCATCGGTTAATATTCTGTACGGTTATCTGGACAATAAAATGCTAGGTTTATTCTTTCTGTGTAATGGGTGAATATGGCCAGTTCATCCCAATTCCCAATCATCCCTAATTTTCATGCGGGAAGTTATCTAAAATTTCAATATGTGCTTATTGGCAAATTTGCTGGCCGAGAGGAGTGTGTATTCCCAGAATAAGTTTGCTTCAAGGATCAACCAGTCCATACTGAAATTATTTTCACCATTGATGACATTTTGATAACATTTGAAGAAGTGTAAGAAATCTACAGCTTGGCCTTGCTGCAAAATTATGCACCCATTCTTTCAGATGAGCCTGGATCCAACTCAAAAATACAATATCATCTGGATAAGCCGAAGTTGAACAAAATAACAACATAAATAGTAATTCCCTAATGTCAGGATATTTCTTAATTAAGACTGTCCATGGAGTAGCCTCTAACTACAATTATACTCTTCCCCCAGGGCGTAGCCGAACTAGTAAGTTCAATGCAGGACGAGACCATGTTCTTGTTAGTGGTATTGGAGTCATCGGTACAGGAAGTCCTATAGACTACAGAGGTTGAGACAGTCGCTCTCTTTGCGCCAGGTCTAGAAATGCTGTATTAAGGCTGTCGATTGATTCACTTTGCCGTGGCGTCCATTCTATCTTTTTCATTCCAGGGTCCATCATAAGGTCGTTTTAAGCGCATCATGACGGACACATACGTAGCATGTTTTAAAGCGTCAGGCACAAACGCTTTCCATGATGTTGCGTTTGAAGTGGGCGTTGTTTCACGTCTCACAGTCAGCCAAGGAGCAACGTTGGGTTGTTTATAGATCCAGGGCCATAGGAAGCTCTTTTCGACTGGGGGGGCTGAAAGCGAGGGCCGAAGGCCCGAGGAAATTTTTAAATTTAGAGTCTCTAAAATGCCATTTCCTGGACTTTGGGGGAAGATTTAACAGAATTCTGATAGTCAGAAAACAGCGTTTTAGTATGTCGAAATTTACAGGAAAGTATGGGCCAGACTGTAGCATTATAAATGCGCGGCGGGAATTTTCGTCGTAAATGGCAGTTGCGCGGAAATGAAGGCAGAACATTTGAGAAAATTTCGAAAATCTGGAGTCTCTAGATGGTCTGAAATGGCATTTTCAGAGTTTTCTTTCGCAAGACCCAACACGCAAAAGACAAAATAAATCATTAGTTCATCAAAAATGTGCAGATTTTGTGGGATTTTCTTGAAAATGCGCGACAGAAATTCAGCTAAAATTTCTACGCGAGGAACGATCTGGAGTATGAGTAATATCTTCATTCTTTGCAGTTTGTCACAGATTAAATGATAAAGTTTGCATGATTTTGAAAAAAGAATGACTATTAGCAAATTATTGGGGGGGGGGGCTGCAGCCCCCCAGCCCCCCCGGTTGCTACGGCCCTGAGATCCGTTCGGTGGAACTGCATTCAAGGTCATCTTTCAATAAGGTCCTTATCCCAAGCATCACAATTGGCAATTCATCGTGCCAATTTGGACGTTTGAACGCGCCATGAGTGATGCTTTCAATTGGCGATGGAAGCTCTCGATAATAATGGTATGCAGTAGTTCTGTTACGTTTTATACCCTGAAAATCCATGAGAGACTACCAAAGATTGGACTTAAACTGAGCAACACGGTCGGACAGAAATAAATACTAAAGCCTCGGTCAAACGAGGTTGAGAGTTGATGAAAATTACAACTCTTGCTCGTGTTTAACCGCCAACTCTCTTGCACTCTTATCAACTTTGATCTCATAGTGGTTCAAATTTTGATGAGTGTTGACGAAAGTTTTCGCTAAGCGCGCGGTAATATCCAGTCAACTCTCATCAACTCTCACGCAACTCTTATCAACTTTGAACTGACTCGAATTTTGATGAGTGTTGACGAAAGTTTTCGCTAAGCGCGCGGTAATATCCAGTCAACTCTCATCAACTCTCTTGCACTCTTATCAACTTTAATCTGGTTTAAATTTTGATGAGTGTTGACGAAAGTTTTCGCTAAGCGCGCGGTAATATCCAGTCAACTCTCATCAACTCTCTTGCACTCTTATCAACTTTGAACTGACTCAAATTTTGATGAGTGTTGACGAAAGTTTTCGCTAAGCGCGCGGTAATATCCAGTCAACTCTCATCAACTCTCACGCAACTCTTGTTCTCGTTTGACCGGGCCGTGAGAGTTGAGAAAACTTTCATGTAAACTATTGCTTTTCAACTCTCAAACTCTCATTCTCGTTTCATTAGGGCTTAAGTGATGGATTTGGCGAGGGAAGCGTTGGGTTGAGGTATTGGAAATGGCAATTTAAGGTTAAAGATTAGACCGCGAGCAGTCCCTCGGGAGAAAGGAGGGACTGCCGACAACACATCAAAAAACGGAATACGCGTTGTCCACACAACGCAAAAATTCCCATTGGTCAAAATCGATATGCCTATCAATCAAATCTGATATGTAGCAACCTTGTACCCAGGGCATTTTGCTTCCCACTCAGCAAAAATGGATTTCGCTGAGTGGGAAGCAAAATACCATGGGTACGAGGTTGGATATGTAGTAATTACGCTATAAATAATTTCCAGACTGAATGTTTATTTTATAAATAAACATGACATGAACGGTTCCTTTTGGATAGATTTAATTGGATATAAGTAATGTTTATTCAAAGGCAGAGCCAACTTGACAAGAGCGAAAAGTGGGCGTATTTCGTTTCTTGATGTGTTGTCAGCAGTCCCTCCTTTGTACTTTCCCCTCGCATGCCCGGGAAGCTAAACCTGTGGAAAGGAGGGACTGCTCGCAGTCTAGTCAAAGGTTTGTGGTCTGTGTACACGTGGAATACATGACCTTTGACAACCAACAAACATAATAGATGGCAAGGTAAACGCCCAACAACTCTCAGTGAAGAGTGCTGTATAGAGTCTCCACAGGTCTAAGTTGTGGACATAGTGACATAGTTGTTGTAGAACAATTGGCAAAGGAGTATCCACCATTGCATTGGGGGGTGGGGTGGGGGGGGGGGTGCAGGCAGCTCACTTTTGCCAACAAAATGGGCATGGTTATGTAATTGGTGCATGATCAATGATATGTTATCATAATTGTTAAGGAATAGGCAACTAATGCAAAATGCATAAGCACACTGATTTTGTTGATAGCTTCATCTTTTGGAGGAGGGAAGCAGCACGCCCTTCGCTACACTCCTGGCCAAACTTTTCATCATTGTTTCAGTCTGTTAGGCCACATAAAAAAAATAGTTGGTTAGCGTCCCCGCCCGCCCACAAAAAAGGCCCCGCTCAGGATTTTTTAAATTTTTTTATTTAAAAAAAAGACTTTTATTGATCAACTGGCTCTAATATATGTAGTATTTCTGTTGACTGTAGTCAATTGTGTTAATAGTTTGCGAAATTGCGTGCGAAAATGACGGTATGAATTATATTTTGAAATATATAAAAAAATATCTGTACTGAGCAAGAAAATCCAGTTTCGGACCTAACAGTGAGTAAAACCAAGGCGTTAAAAATTAGTAAAAATGAAAAAAAAAGCACCCGCCCGCCCACTTTTTGGCAAAAGCTAAGGACGCTAACCAACTATTTTTTTTTATATGGCCTTACCTCAACAACAACACACAGGTTAGAGGCCTGATAAGATTCATATTCCTTTTTATTATATAATATAAATATGAAAGGGCAGAAGAATAAACAGAAAAATACATGGGTGCTTGGAAATACCAGATTATCTGGTATTTCCAAGCACCCATGTATCATTCTCTATTTATTTGGCTTCACTTTATAACCTTGGCCACCATGGACAAGCATAAAAATATGAGATATTTATATCAAGACATTATTGTTCTAATAAACTGTCAACTTTTTGAAATACTATATTACAACACAATTCTTGCGTATTAAAATATTGAAATACGTACCATTTTTATATGTTTTTCTTCGAAACTTGATTTGTCTTCTCGTTTTGTTTTATCCAGTGCTTCCATTTTCAAAATCAAAATTTCTCATTTTTGTCATCAAAATTTCTCTAAATTCCTTAGATTGTATACGTTATTTCCTTGAAAATTCCTTGAAATTTCATTAGGCGGTTTGCAGACCTTTGCAGTGCTTTTGTAGCAATACAAAGGATTTAATCAATTTTAAAGGCACAAAATAGCACAATTAACAAAGATAATTGCTAGCTAAAAAACCACAGGCTATTATACTGTTTAAAATTGGCGCCAAAAGATACCAAATCCTGTCGCTCAAAAACTTTCGGAAACACGAGGAAAAAGTTAAAACCAGATTTTTAATTGAACATAATTGATAATTCACTCAAAAATTCAAGAAATAGCGAAACATTCTTCTGCACTAATGCACTTGGATAATATTTAAGTTGTTGGGAAAAAATCCTTAGATTTCCTTAGATTTTTTCTCTTCCTTAGATTTTCCTTTTCGACACTAGAATTTCCTTAGAAAAGGAAATTTCCTTGAAAATGGAAGCACTGGTTTTATCCATTGAACTATAAATAAACTGGAAGGCTAACTCAGGGGGGGAAATTGAAGCCAGTGCATTTTAGTTTTTCTGAGTTATGAGCAGAAATACTCAACACTGAACGTTGGGCTATATATCAAATTGAAGCTATTCAAAAACGCTATTTGGTGTAGAAATTTCAAGACTTTAGCTAAAAGGGAAATATTGAAAAACTACAAACATAATTACCGATAATTTGCCGTTTTGCAGTTGTTTTTGTATTTTTTAAAGATTTTTCTTTTCGCTGAAGTCTTGAAATTTCCACACCGAATAGCAATTTTCAATAGCTTCAATTTGATATATAAGCCGACGTTTGGGGTCAAGTATTTCTGCTCATAACTCAGAAAAACTATTTTGGCTTCATCAAATCATAGGCCTTCATCATAGCAGTTAGCCTTCCAGTTTATTTATAGTTCAATGGTTTTATCGCTCTTGCCATTCGGTTGCAATACTTCATGTAAGCTGAAGATAATGGCTTCGTACGTAGCTAACGTAGGTTTGGTAAATTTTGGGGTAGCATTTGGTAACTCCTTTCTGGTCGACGCTGATTCTGTGACCGCTGGGATCTGTGGGCCCATAAAGGCAATTTTCCATTGCAGTCGCTTTGCCCGCGCGGGTGGAGCGAACATTACTCAACTTTCTCTGTAGTTGCCTAACCTGTGCATTTTTTATCCGTCTGAATGCTCGCGGACACGCCATGTCGCCATGAAAGTAGAACTACATTCAACTTTCTTGGCGTGCCCGGGCGACTGATTTTTCGATTCACGTGATTAAAAATAAAATTGGTCGCTCCGCCCGCGCGGGCAAAGCGACTGCAATGGAAAATGGCCTTAAAAGGGACTTTCTGCATTTGTGAATGCACATATAAAGAAATGGACTGGCACCAAGACCAAAAGTAGGGGGTACCCGCCCCCCCCCTAAGATTTCAAAATTTCCCATATTCGGAAAATATGGAAATCTGTTCGGAAATAAGAACTCGAAACGACAAAAAAATTCGCAAAAATCGGAATCAGTCAGATTTTGTCACTCTCCAAAGCATTAAACCAGATATGAGATTTGTATCCAGAAAACTGAATCCTATATTTAGACCTATTCAGAAGTACGAAATTTCAATTTATAAAAGCAGATTGTTCGCAACCTCGTACCCAGGGCATTTTGCTTTCCACTCAGCGAAAATGGCATGGGCGTACCGGAAGGAAAAAATTAGGGGGGGCGGAATGAAATTTGCCCGACTTTTCGCGATTCTGCCCCCCCCCCTCGCCAAAAAAATTTCGGTCAGTGTACCATTTTAGGGGTCAAAAAATTTTTCGGACATAACCAAAATTTTTCGGAACAGCACAAAATTGACCAAAAAATTCACTGAATTTCCGACAAAATTTGTCCCATTTTTTTTTTAATAAACCAAAATTGCCCGACTGTTCATCGAATATTGCCCGACTGCCCAACAAACTGGGGGGGCTACCGCCCCCCCCCGGTACGCCTATGGAAAATGGGAAGCATTTTCGCTGAGTGGGAAGCAAACACTGATCTGCAAACTGCCCTGGGTCCAAATTGCACTCATGTACGACTAGGGAACGTCTATAATTACTAAAATTTATGCTCTTTACACATTTCTCGGAGTTTCTGGTGTCTTTGTTAAGTCGTTTTTGGGATACATACAGTATACAATTAAAAACATGAAATTTCATCCTGTTAAAATAATCACAAGCAATATTAAAGTGAAAACTACCAATTAAGTATTTAAGTCTACTAAAACAGGAATTCGTTTTTAACTTGAATGTGTTTAAAATAATTATTGCGATGTGCTTTTTGTGCTTTTGGGGGTACATGCATGTCTGTACATAAAAACGAGGATAACTTTATAACGATGTTTACTTGACTACTTTAAACCCCCTTTTAATCCTGCAGAAGAGCTTTGCGCATCACAACTTTTTCAAAATCAGACGAGCACTCAAGTCCGATATTTAAAACTCTCAACATGCTTAAAATTCATGATTTGGTATCTCAGAATTTTGCACTTTTTATGTATGAATATTACCATCAGCTTTTGCCATCGGTACTTCAAAACTTTTTGATAGCATAACAAACTTTTTTTTTAAAACAGTCCTAAATTAATTTTATAGAATATATAACTAGTATAAACATTTTTAGCAACATTGATGTAAATAATAGTAAAATTTCTTCTTATCAATTTTAACCTTAGCACTTCTTGTAAATCCATTGTACTTTTTTAACCAAAGATGGATATTAAATGTTATTATATATAAACTAAGAAACAAATGAAATGTGGTGAAATGAAGTGAAACAAAGAACTTAGCTCATTAATTAACATTAGTAATGTTCGGCACACAGGGGCGTAGGAAGCATCAAAAGATTGGGGGGCACCGGCTTACAAGGGCACTTAGGGTATTGAAAAGGGCACTAAAAATTTTCCGGAAATGTTGGCGGGAAGGGTTGGGAGAAAAATTTTCCCGTTGTACCATACCGAAATTGCACGTTTTTTACCAAATTTTTTAAAAAAACTTGGACATTTCCAAACAAAAAGGGCACCTTTGATGTTAATTTAGTATTTACAGCGACATTAGCTTGTACAAAAAGGGAACTTTTCATCAGAAAAAAGGGCACTTTTAGTCCTTTGAAAAAATTTGGGAGCCCCCCGGTTCCTACGCCCCTGTCGGCACATGAAAAGTTCGACGTTTGACCCTGGCCTTAGAGAATTTTTAAATTTAGGTTCCAGGTCCCAAAATATGGAATTCAATTGATGAGAGCTTTAAAGTTCAACAAGCTTTACAAATGTAAAACGGTCATATCTTGACCAATATTGATATATTGTACTTGTTTGTTTAATAGATTGAGAAAGACAACAGTCATTTAAAATATTTGTGTGTGTAAGCCAATAATGTACTGCATACATGTGTGCATGTACAGTTTCTTTTTCTTTTCTATTTTTACAGTAAGTCCATGATAATACCCACTACCCAGATCTGAAATATGTTTAAAAACTTTGAAATTTTCTTTCAGGCATTTTTAGCCCTATGGTTATTGCCGAAAGCAAGTATCTTTAATAATTATCGAACACCCTAAATATTTTAAAATAATTTATGAAAAAAAATGGATACAAATAAAGATTATTGTATTGTGCTGATAAGGCTCGCTTGTTGTAAAACATAAAATAGTCTAGGCTAAGTAATTATGTAGCGTAACATTTGACATAAAGCATTTGATCATATCCATATACATGCATGTAAATTGAGGCTATAGAAATCTTAAATTTTAGAATTTTCCATAGATATCTTATATACACTAGATAGTGCATCTAATTTTAGGGGTTAGGTGTCAATTGGGACGAGAGTCCTGTTCCTTTCCCCTGTCACGATTTGTATCTGTCTTTATTTGTCATCATGTATAAAGTGACAAATTCATTATATTATATATTATTATTATAATTTTATTCTGCCATTCAGAAATTGAAGCCGTGATTGCAGACTCAGGGTATTCCCATGAAATGAGAAGCCTCGTATGTTTTCTATTTCTTAAACAGGGAACTTAAACATTAAGTTAAACCTATTCCAAATACATTTTCAAATTATTCAAATGATGAAAGTTGTTGTTGTTTTTTATGCGTTTATTAGCGAGTGGGAACCATAGATATCGAGATATCTATGGTGGGAACTACCAACATGGCCGCCACCTATTCAAATGGGGGTAACCGCTGGAATATTCGTGGCTTCAATTTTACTAAAAGAGATGCGCTATCTAGTGTATATAAGATATCTATGGAATTTTCACATTAAATTAGTTTCTGTAGTAAATCACTTACAGACGTCCTATTATTATAGAGTTCTATACGAGTATATAAATCAAAGCATAATAATTATATACAATTACTGAAAGTAAACTGATCGCGGAGTAGAGAGCCTGCTCGCAGGATAGGAGTATTGAATCGTCACTAATTATTCATCAAAACTATATCGCACCACGATTTCTCCGCAACAAGGATTGTATGTTTATTTATACACGCCATTAGTGTGACAAGTGTGTAGCATGGTTATCTGACAAAATAAAACGAAGCAAAATTAGTACGAGCAAAGAAGAGAGGGGTTTAACTTCATTTCTTCAGTAAATATTTACGTTATTGCGCGTTGAACGCTCTTATACTCACTGTCTCATACAATTTGGGGTTGCCTTGGGGGGATTTTATTAAGCATAAAAAATACTGTAAAGAAAAGTGAAGTTAAATGCTCTTGAACAACTCCACTATTTTTCTTGGCCTTGATTATTCAACTTAGAAACAACAGTCACCGATGGCAGATGTGGTTTGCTCGATATCCTCTCGATGGTACCCAAGTAACTCAACCTAAGTAATTCACCTATCTGCCATGTACTTAAAACCTTAATGAAGTCAGTGGTGGATTTAGGGGGGGGGAGGGCACCCCCCCCAGGCTCTGGTCAACAGGGGTGCATGGGGTGTGCAAAAATGATGTTTATCCTAATTCTAACCAACTTATGTTAAGGAATTCAGTTGGGTATCACTAGTTGACAATAGTGGAATAGCCAATATTAAATATTCTGAATTTTTAAATGTTTTGAGAATCTAAAAATTTTCCAGAATGTTTTCTCAGAATGCTGGAAATGCCATTTCAGAGACCCAAATTTTAAAAATTTTCCGTGGTAATATGCCCCCGGACCACCCTAGAAATCTCACACCTTCGGCGCTTGTTTCGCCATTGGTTAGCACCCCCCAAAAAAACTTTGCTGGATCCACCACTGAATGAAGTAGAGTTTGGTTGGTTTGCTGCGAGGTCTTCCTCTGGATCCTTATATTTTTCCCTTTACCAAAAATTAACCTTCAGGCCTTAGTTGTCGAGCACATGCATCACGAGCCTGCATGGTTGTCCAGCACATGCATCACGAGGCTGGTTGTCGAGCACATGCATCACGAGGCTGGTTGTCGAGCACATGCATCACGAGGCTGGTTGTCGAGCACATGCATCACGAGCCTGCATGGTTGTCGAGCACATGCATCACGAGGCTGGTTGTCGAGCACATGCATCACGAGGCTGGTTGTCGAGCACATGCATCACGAGGCTGGTTGTCGAGCACATGCATCACGAGGCTGGTTGTCGAGCACATGCATCACGAGGCTGGTTGTCGAGCACATGCATCACGAGGCTCTGTGAAGTAGGCAACCACACCATGCATACTCATTTTTATGATCATGTACAGGGTGTATAAAAAAAACGCAACCTCGGAATTTCCCAAGAAATCGACATTGTTTTAAGGACAAAAGATTTTAGGGGCCTGGGAATTTAAAATAGCACAACTGTCAAAACTACTGCACACGCGAGTGCATAAAGCACAATTTATGCATTTATTTAATGACACTTAATAAGTTTTTATTTTACAAGTACAGTACAACAACAGTAATATATGATCTACAGGGCGTATAAAAAAAACGCAACCTTGGAATTTCCTAAGAAATCCACTTTGCAATTCTTAATTAAGCATAAAAGATTTTAGGCCCCTGGGAATTGAAATCGAATTGCTAATACAGGGTGTATAAAAAAAACGCAACGTTTTTTTTATAAACAAATTTGGACAAACGTTATTTACATCGTTACTACCCAGTTCACAACTTTAGATAACTCACAGGCCTAGAGTTACTATTGTTGTCGTTTACAGAAGCACAGAGTAGAGCAAAGCTCGACACTACAGGGTGTCTCAAAAAAACCCAAAATCATTGAAATAACGTATTGTTCGAATTTCAATGCCGTAACACAAAGGATTTTGACAGGGTGATTAATTTGTTTTTAAAAATTAAAATATCTTTGTAAAGTGAACGTTTGTTTGCTCATGGGAATTTAAAAATGCTTCGTAAATTGTAATATGCGTAATATGCATTCGTGGGTTTAGTACTTTATGCCTGACATAACAAGTTTACGCTGAGTATTACCATTCATTATAGCAGTTATGTCAATCTTTTATGCACTCGTGGGATTAACTTAGTGCTAGGGCATTGAATATCGAACAATACGTCAATTTCAATGATTTTGGTATTTTTTGAGACACCCTGTATATAAGCATTGGAATTAGGTGTAAGAGATATTCATCCATGTAGATAATTCTAAAGCTTAGTTGCCTTTCTATACACCCTTTTCATAAATGGCTGCCGATTAAAAATTATTTTATGTGCATATAAATTGGCCCAACTAGCCTCGTACTCATGTTAAGATTTCAAAGGAATTTCTACCCAGAAACGAGGCCAGTTGGGCCAATTTATATGCACATAAAAGAATTTTTAATCGGCAGCCATTTATGAAAAGGGTGTATAAGCTTCTGCAAACTAGATAACTAGGCATGCGAGTTATCTAAAGTTGGTGGAATCTGGTATAATGCAGATCTTTGTGTCTGGAATACGCCTTTGATTCGGCATTTGTGTAACCTGCGGTAAAACACAGCCACATAGAATGAAGGGGACCATGGGGATACCTCTGATTTAAGCCTGCTATTGTAGGTCTGATCACTCTGATGTAGGATACGTAACTTCTCAATTGGTAAGCTTGTGTTTGGTAGGCTGTGTCCTGTGCTTCGATCGCCGGGTCTTCCAGCTCTTCCTAATCAAAAACCAACCCTTATAGGACATGCTTGTCGAGCACTTGAGCCTCTCACATCTTGTGCAATCGACTCAACATGATCAAATGACAGCTAATTGAACAAAGATATATCGTGCACTTATACAAGAATACGGTGTCAATTTTAGAGCTACAGTACGATATACAATTATTATTGCATCTACTCTAGACTTGTGGAAAGGACTTTGGGAAAGTCTAAATCTACTCTTGCTGTTTAGTGTTTCACCATATCATACCTTACTATTTAGATAACGTTATTTGCAGTGTTTCTCCAGACTTCACTGTCTGAACATGTTCTGAACCCGAGGGGAAAGATTGCACAGGGGCGTCTGGGAAACGCAGGACTATTTTATTCTTTTCCTATAAAAAATACAATATATACTGTCAATAGAAAGCCTCTCAAAAATAAAATATATTAATAAAACATGCAGTATACAAAGAGATTTCTATATGCGAAGTAATGCAAAATGGCGTGCGAAAACATGCTTAGAATGAATGGTGCAATTTATTTGGCGGATCAACTTCGTCCATCAATCATCTGGTGCGGCAAAAGCCTGGCAAGAATACCGTAAACCTCCGAATATAAGCCCTGGGTTTACATTCGTTCGTAAGCATACGGACGACATTTGGTGTTAGTAATATTGTACATGATGACCAAAAAGAAATATAAACATACAGTATAATTATGAAATAGTAAAAACGTCATGTTCCGTATACTGTACATAACGTTCGTTTTTACTTGAACCACTCACATATACAACATAATAAAACAAGTTGGTTAACATATTATAATACTGTAATGTAATTATCGTCACTAGTTTGAGCCGTTGTCCAATAATAAGCCCATGAGCTTATAGCCTTATACACGGAAGGGCTTAAATATTCGGAATGGCCTGAGCGTTAATAAATATGGTTAGGCTTATAGACGGGGGGGGTACATTCGGGTGGGCCCATATTTATGATAATATAAAAATGTTTATGACAAAATAAAGCGCCTGCTACGCAGGCTATGATTTCACTGAACCTTAGTAAGAGTTGTCCTAATTTCGCCTTCAAGTACTGCTTTGGCATGCGTTGGGAAGTCCATCGCCAGTCCTAGTGCTGCAATCTCAACATCTCCATAAATGACACACAGCTGCAAGTAACAAATTTTACTCTCAATAACGGTTTTCAAATAAGGTTTTCATATATATTACGCTTTTCAAATAACTTTGCATATATAGTATGGTGGGTAAGAAATTTTTGACTGCATGCATACAACGGGTGGCACGAAAGCCAGATTTTTTCAACCGATGCAAAAATATTTCAAAAGCTATAAAACTAGGGATATGGATTTCAAAATATATAAAAAGAAACTTGAATTTATAAATACTAAAAAGTTTAACCTGGGTTATAATATGCCAATCAGCGGTGAATTTAGAAGCTTAAAAAAATCACAATCCGGCCAGTTCACGAGGCTGCAAATGTTGCATATCACGTGGCTTCCTGTTTTACTGTTGCCAATCCACAAATACTACAGAGGTTCAGATTTGACTTCTACTACCGCTACCATTAAGGGACCATCAACCAATATTAAAAAGTATTACCTGAACATTTGCACTACCTCCGCTGATTGTCTGAGTGTATGTTCCCCAACCAGATCCAACAATAAAGAAACTTTTGAAATTTTCCCTATTGTCTATCGGAGCAAAGTTGAGTTTTATCGCAGGGTTACCAATAGCAAGAATGTCCCATGTCTAAACAGAAGGTAATGTACAATAAGAAAACGACATCAGTGCATGTAATGCTGAAGACGTTATCGTTGACTAGGTGACCTCAACATCGTTTTGACAAAATTTTGCAGAACCCCCGAAAATAATTCGCTTTTTTAAAATCCTTATAATGAACTTTTGAAGTTGAAAACTTTGGGAGAATGTAGTAAAATTACCAGTGTTTGAAATGATGTATATTTTATATTGTTTTTGCTTGTAATTTTCGAAATATTCATACTCTAGTAAACATAATAAACTTCCGTTAAAAGTCTTGCCAACCATGTCATAATAATAAACAAGGTAGACTCGATGCACGCCCGAGCGCCATGCGCGAGGGTAAAAATGTTCAACACGCATTTTTGAGCTGCCTATAATATCACTGGCACATGCGTACTCAATCTCTTACCATTCCTGAAGCAATTTCAAAATACAGAAATGCCGCCATTGCTCGAGTGTAGTGATCACCACATTCAATTTCATTCCAAGGGCTTCGTCTTGTTCCATCGTATTTCATGCGACATTGTTCAATTACTGAAATAAAATTAAAAAACATCCTTGAATATACAGGGTGTATAAAAAAAAACTGTACAGATTTGAAATTTGCTCTTAAATTCGCAAAACAGCTATTAGTATCCAGTTTTTTATGTATACAGGGTGTATCAAAAAGGAAACCCTGAGGATCCAAGGATAGTGCAGAGTTTCAAAGACAAACGCTATAAGGCATGCTTATTAATTGAATAGCTTTTCAAGCGTGGTTTATAGCCTTAATCACATGTCGTAATAGCGCGGGGAACTGTTACAACAGTAAAAATGCTAAGATCTGGTTTAAATATAATACTTTACGGTTGAAGAATAACGAGAGTTATGTAATATTATTTATTTCCCCATATAATATTATAGTGACAAGGCATAATTTCTGTTATGTTGTAAAGTTTGAAATTGAAAGACACTGCAAGGATTATATAGGATCGCCGACAACCTAGAAAAGCTGATGGGTTACACTACGAAATAAACAATTATCATAGGCATTTCATCTCATTATCTATTGTTTTTAATGCGTTCGGCACACGAGTAACCCGACGTTTAAAACAAGCCTAACACATCAGAAACGTCGTGCTTCGTGGAACTGACACAATTTATTGGAGCTGTCGCCAAGTATCCCCACAAGGCTACTGATATGCTAAACTTATTTCAAAAACTCATTAATAATTCAGGAGCAAAACACAAAGAAAAATCATAAGCGTGTCGTGGTTTTATATGTGATAAAAAATCATGTTAATTTACATAAACTGTAGCTTTGATTTTCTCGGTTTAGACAAAGTTTATTTTAAAAATTACTTCGCCAATGAACTCGTATAAGATGAGTCGTTTTTGAAGCTATTTAAAGCACTTGTAGTCGTGTTTTATCACATATAAAACACTCCGCTACGCGTCGTGTTTTATATGTGATAAAACACTCCTACGCGTGCTTTAAATAGTACTTAAATCTATGATTATTGCCAATGCCATCATCGTTTTAGCGCCCATATTGTACATTTGACTATTGTCCCAGTCACAACTTTAATTGAAATAGCTTTATAAGATATGTTATGAATAATTAATAAGCACTACGACGTTGTGTTCCATGACAAAAAAAAAACATAAATCTAAAACACGGAAACGTAAAAAAAGAGGATTTATCCAAGTCCGTTCCGTTCCGCATTTTATCTCCATATCCGTTCCGTGGATCCGCTCCGTTTCGCATCCGCTTCCGCATTTTAACCTAGTTGTGACGTGTCACAATAACAAGCTCACTGACCTTTGAGTTATTTGAAGGTCACGTTGTGTTCATGATTCATTTTCAGCTTTTCGCATGTAATCAATATTTCAATGGTTTCACAGTTATAGCAGTGTTTATAGCAGTTTTGACAAGCTTTGATACAGATAGATTCTCGTAAGATCTGGTAGAGTTCTCGTTGCACTGAAGTCTGAACACGAGTTTGCACCGTTGACGTTGTGCTAGACACGTAAACCAAGATTTTCTCAATATTTATGTTTGAAATGTTTATACATTTGAAAGCAACACTGTCTCGCTGCTTCCTAGCTCTGTACAATGAATATACCGTCAAACTAATATCGGCACTTGAATGCATTACGTGCATAACATCAATTTACATATTGCGTAGTATCTCAAAGAAAATCTCAATATAATACACGTCTGAAATGTTTATACATTTCGAAACAACACTTGTCTCGCTGCTTCGCCTAGCTCTGTACAATGAATATACCGTCAAACTAAGTAATATCGGTACTTAATTGAATGCCCGTAATGCAAAACATCGATTTTATATATTGCGTAGTATCTCAAAGATTTTCTCAATATAATTTAGACGTCTGAAATGTTTATACATTTGAAAACAACACTGTCTCGCTGCTTCCTAGCTCTGTACAATAAATATACCCTCCAAATAATATCGGCACTTGAATGCCCGTAAATCGTAATGCATAAGTACATAACATCAATTTATATATTGCGTAGTATCTCAAAGATTTTCTCAATATAATACTGACACGTCTGAAATGTTTATAATTATACATTTGAAAACAACACTGTCTCGCTGCTTCCCATCTCTGTACAATGAATATATACCGTCAAACTAATATCGACACTTGAATGCCCGTAATGTATAACATCAATTTATATATTGCGTTGCGTTGTATCTCAAAGATTTTCGCAATATAATATACGTCTGAAATGTTTATATATACATTTGAAAACAACACTGTCTCGCTGCTTCCTAGCTCTGCACAATGAATATACCCTCAAAATAATATCGATCTTTAATTGAATGTCCGTAATGCATAACATCGATTTATATATTGCGTAGATTCTCAAAGATTTACTCAATATTCACATCTAAAATGTTTATAATTTGAAAACAACACTGTGTCGCTCCAGCGCTCCTTCCTAGCATCATCACGCCATCGTTATATACGGCTTGATAGCGCATGTGCATTTGTGTTGCTAAAGAAAAAAATGGGTTTTCCGGGGGAAAGATCCTTCACACAACGTGAGAAGCGAATGTTATAAAATTTACAAAAATTTACAATAACGACAACGATTCCTCGAAATTTTTGTGAACTTGGCAAAAGAACAAAAAATATGTAAATAAAACAACTGAAATTGCCTAAATAACCTTCAAAGCACAATAAATCACTACAAACATAAATCGTATACATATAATACACCCCCCGGAAAGTTAACTCTATGACTGATTGACTGACTGACTGATGTGAATTTTCCCAGTCATCACAATAGTGCACAGTTTCAAAGAAACTCTGCACTAAA